TGGAAATGTTACTTTTAATCCTGTGTCTAAGTGGTTTATACAGTATACGTGATTAACAAAGAAGGTCCCAAGATGGTTTCCCCACTGAGACTTAGATCCATTTACAGTCACATTATGAATTCTACGAAATAAACACACCCTAATCCAAAATGGTATAAATCCCCAATGTAAGGTTCTCTTAATTTCTACCGATTCTCTTGCGAGGCACAGCATCAAAGGCTTTGCCGTAGTCAAGATGTAGAATGTTGCAATACCTTGTGCTGTTGACTGCTTGAAACAGTTTGTATTCTGGTACCAGAAAAGAGGAAGTGAGTAAACTTGTTATACACAAGTGACCCTTAGTAAAACAATGTTGTGAAACCTTTGTTAATCTACATTTTTCACGCTGTAAATGAACGGCTTTCTTAATTTACCATTCAAAAATTTTTCGTACAATAAAGGTTGAGTCAGTTGAATGATAGTATGGTGAAAGTGATCTTTCTTAAAAATTGGTACAACATTGCAACCCTTCATGATTCCAGTACGCTGTTCGAATCTGTTTAATTAAAAGTTGCACAACAGGTGGGTACAACAGTCAAAAAAGCTAACCAAATCTTGGAATAATCAAGCGTACTTTTGAATGTAAGGAAAAGAAGGTAATGGTTGAACTGTATAAATCTGGTGCACTTAGTTTACTGTATCCAAGCATGGAGACCTCATTTTCAGAAGGATATAGCTGCTCCGGAGAAGGTGCAACACCAGGCAACAAAAGTCATTCCAGAGCTAGGTCATCTCTTGTATCAGGAACGGTTGAGAGCTACAGTGCTAGCAACACGGCAAACTAGGCATGACAGGGCGAATCTCATTGAAACTTTTAAAATACTGAACAAGTTAAAGGATGTTGATCCAGATATTTTCCTCAGAAGTTAAGATGTAACACAAACAAGGAGCAACAGTTTCAAGCTCAACAAGCCACAATGTAGGACTGAGAACAGGAGATGCTTTTTCATCTCTCTGGATGGAGATGAAAAGCAGCTTTGGATGAAAAGCATGGATGCAGCTTTTTCATCTTTATGGATTATTACCCATGGAACTACCTACCCACCGAATCCATAACTGGCAAAACTGTGTTGAAATAAACCTGAAAAAGATCATCTATGTAAATGGGGGGGGGGGAAGACCTTCGACAAGCTGCCGGCTTTCTGTCCTCATTGAGGCCACTAGGGTTAGTGGCCCTCAGGTAACTCAGGTAAAAGCCTTGATTGTTTTTATTGTCTTTATTTAACATTGTATATTTTTAATAATCGTATGTATTTTCGAGTATGGTAATGTAATTTAAATTTATTACCAGAATTTGGTTCACAGGAAACATTGTCAGGAAGAATTTGGATAATGGTATTTGCTACTG